ACGGGAGGGGGGGAAGGGATGGGGGTGGGGAGGGGAGGAGAAATGGAGGAACGGGGAGAGGCACGAGGTGCGCGAGGTTTTTGTTGGTGCCGGAAAAACAGAGCGCCACGTCAGCGCGCACCCCCACCGCCAGAAGGGGGGGGAGGCTGTCCCGGCGAGGCGAATCTACCCGCCCGCCCGCGTGCGTGTCTAGCTGCGCTTTGCGGCCGTGTGTGTAAAGATCGTCTCCGTCGTGGGCGAGCGGTGTGTGGCCACCGGGCCGTCGGGCAGGCCGTTTCTTTTACTCTTGGACCTCACTCAATTAGAACTGCTGTACATTTGAGGCCTCGTTATGTCGAAGCTCAATTCACACAGAGATTTTTTTTTGCATGGTGAAAGAAAGTTTTATTCTGTAATGATAGGGTTACAATCTCGAGACAATAAGTCCTCACAACACGGAGGGATCGAGTTCAACCATACCGCAGTACAAGCTTCGGTACGGCTATAAAATGCCAATTGATGTGCTACCCTATTTTATTCCCTACTAATCTTTAGAGGAACAAACTCTCTAACAGCCATATTTTCTCTAATCTCAGCAGCTAAGTGCCCATAAGTCGACCCGGCCAAGGTATCGCCGGCAATAATAGCTAAAGCATTAACAGAATTAGATTGTACCACCATCGGAAAATTTGAATGTTGAATGACCAGTGGCATCCCTTGCATGATCGCATATATTTTCGCTTTCAGGGCATCATTGCAATGAAAAATGTATCTACATGCCGTGAAAATCAACGAGCCATCTTCCCTTCGTAAGACCATTCCGGCCGCTGCCCGGCTAACTATGCTTGAAAAGGAGCCATCAACAGAAAGTGCCACCCAGCCCGACAGCGATGGTGGCCACAACTTTGGGACCAGGTTCATTTTTTCTTGATAAACCCGACTGTCATCATACATCACCATCTTTCCTTTTATATTTTCCTCCATACTATATTTGCTGACAAGATTTAGAGATTTGTAGTAACTGTCCAAAAATTGCACAGTCACCTCCACTGGGGTCTCCTTTTTACCATGCGCTATGTCATTACGAAGCTGCCAAATTCGCCACATAGTCATGATTACTCGGTCATGGATAAGATCTGGACAATTAGATAGCACTTGCAACAGCCAACCCTTTCCGTATCCACAAGACTTGAGTCATCTGGCAAGGGCCATATCATACGTAGAGCCTCCCACACATGACGAGCATGCACACATGTGATAAGAGCAACATAGAGATGGGTGGACATAGTTGTGGGAATGGTCACCTCAGTTTCTTTTTTAGTGATCTTTAATGGACAGAAACGTGATGAATTTCAACCAACACGAGGTATCCGTCAGGGGATCCGATTTCACCACACCTTTTTTTGCTGGCAGTATAGGGCCTTTCGTGCCTTTTAAAATCTAGAGTTCGGTGATCCAGTCTTGGCGGAATACAAGTGGCTTCATCGGCTCCACCGGTGAACCATTTGTTATTTGCAGATGACAACCTACTGTTTTTTAAAGCAAATAGTGAGGGGGCTGATACGTCTCCAACGTATCTATAATTTTTGATTGTTTCGTGCTATTACATATTCTGTTTTGGATGTTTAATGGGCTTCATTATACACTTTTATATTTTTTTGGGACTAAAGTATTAACCCAAGGCCCAGTGCAAATTGTTGTTTTTTTTCCTATTTCAGTGTTTCGCAGAAAGGGAATATCAAACGGAATCCAAACGGAATGAAACCTTCAGGAGAGTTATTTTTGGAACAAACGTGATCCGGAGGACTTGGAGTAGACGTCAAGCAATCAATGAGGTGGCCAAGAGGCAGGGGGTGCGCCCTCCCCCCTCGTGGGCCCCTCGTGGCTCCACCGACCTACTTCTTCCTCCTATATATGTTCATATACCCCGAAAACATTCAGGAGCACCACGAAACCCTATTTCCACCGCCGCAACCTTCTGTACCCGTGAGATCCCATCTTGGGGCCTTTTCTGGCGCTCCGCCGGAGGCGCCGGAGGGGGCATCGATCACGGAGGGCTTCTACATCAACACCATAGCCTCTCCGATGATGTGTGAGTAGTTTACCTCAGACCTTCGGGTCCATAGTTATTAGCTAGATGGCTTCTTCTCTCTCTTTGGATCTCAATACATAGTTCTTCCCGTTCTTCTTGGAGATCTATTCGATGTAACTCTTTTTTGCGGTGTGTTTGTCGAGATCCGATGAATTGTGGGTTTATGATCAAGATTATCTATGAACAATATTTGAATCTCCTCTGAATTCTTTTATGTATGATTTGTTTGTTGGAAATATGCCCTAGAGGCAATAATAAAAGTATTATTATTATATTTCCTTGTTCATGATAATTGTCTTTTATTCATGCTATAACTGTATTATCCGGAAATCGTAATACACGTGTGAATACATAGACCACAATATGTCCCTAGTGAGCCTCTAGTTGACTAGCTCGTTGTGATCAACAGATAGTCATGGTTTCCTGGCTATGGACATTGGATGTCGTTGATAACGGGATCACATCATTAGGAGAATGATGTGATGGACAAGACCCAATCCTAAGCCTAGCACAAGATCATGTAGTTCGTATGCTAAAGCTTTTCTAATGTCAAGTATCATTTCCTTAGACCATGAGATTGTGCAACTCCCGGATACCGTAGGAGTGCTTTGGGTGTGCCAAACGTCACAACGTAACTGGGTGGCTATAAAGGTACACTACGGGTATCTCTGAAAGTGTCTGTTGGGTTGGCGCGAATCGAGATTGGGATTTGTCACTCCGTGTAAACAGAGAGGTATCTCTGGGCCCACTCGGTAGGACATCATCATAATGTGCACAATGTGACCAAGGGGTTGATCACGGGATGATGTGTTACGGAACGAGTAAAGAGACTTGCCGGTAACGAGATTGAACAAGGTATCGGTATACCAACGATCGAATCTCGGGCAAGTACCATACCGCTAGACAAAGGGAATTGTATACGGGATCGATTGAGTCCTTGACATCGTGGTTCATCCGATGAGATCATCGTGGAACATGTGGGAGCCAACATGGGTATCCAGATCCCGCTGTTGGTTATTGACCGGAGAACGTCTCGGTCATGTCTGCATGTCTCCCGAACCCGTAGGGTCTACACACTTAAGGTTCGATGACGCTAGGGTTATAAAGGAAGCTTGTATGTGGTTACCGAATGTTGTTCGGAGTCCCGGATGAGATCCCGGACGTCACGAGGAGTTCCGGAATGGTCCGAAGGTAAAGATTTATATATAGGAAGTCCTGTTTCGGCCATCGGGACAAGTTTCGGGGTCATCAGTATTGTACCGGGACCACCGGAAGGGTCCCGGGGGCCCACCGGGTGGGGCTACCTGCCCCGGGGGGCCACATGGGCTGTAGGGGGTGCGCCTTGGCCTACATGGGCCAAGGGCACCAGCCCCAAGAGGCCCATGCACCTAGGGAACCCTAGAGGGAAGAGTCCTCAAGGGGGAAGGCACCTCCGAGGTGCCTTGGGGAGGATGGACTCCTCCCCCCCTCTTGGCCGCACCCCAAAACCCATCTAGGGCTGGCCGCCGCCCCTAGGGGGTGGGAAAACCCTAAAGGGGGCGCAGCCCCCTTCCCCCCTATATATATTGAGGCATGGGGCTGCCCATAACACGCGATTTGATCTCTCGTTGGTGCAGCCCTGCCCCTCTCCCTCCTCCTCCTCTCCCATAGTGCTTGGCGAAGCCCTGCGGGATTGCCACGCTCCTCCACCACCACCACGCCGTTGTGCTGCTGTTGGATGGAGTCTTCCTCAACCTCTCCCTCCCTCCTTGCTGGATCAAGGCGTGGGAGACGTCACCGGGCTGTACGTGTGTTGAACGCGGAGGTGCCGTCCGTTCGGCACTTGATCATCGGTGATCTGAATCATGACGAGTACGACTCCATCAACCCCGTTCACTTGAACGCTTCCGCTTAGCGATCTACAAGGGTATGTAGATGCACTCTCCTTCTACTCGTTGCTGGTCTCTCCATAGATAGATCTTGGTGATGCGTAGGAAAATTTTTGAATTTCTGCTACGTTCCCCAACATTGTTATCTTTGCAAGTCTCTTTGAAGTATCAGTTTGGTTTGGCCTACTAGATTGATCTTTCTTGCAATGGGAGAAGTGCT